CAGTGGGCTGCCAGTTGTGAGTTGCAGGGTGATATGGCTGCTGAATTATAGGTACTGGTGCTGAATTATCGGTACAGTACTCGAGCAGAGTAGACAGAGCAGTGCCCCTGTGGTACCTTCTCCTTGGGACTGCACAGCTGCGTGTTGTAGAGCCCATACAGCAGGTACAGGCTGCCCACTCGGATCTGGAAGCTGTATGGAGGGAGGAAATAATGCGAGGCAATGGCCAGGATCTCGCGGCTGAAAAACCTCTTCTCGTTCGCTGCCATTTTACCGCTGAAGAGAAAGGAAAAGAGGTTTAAATACACTGTGTGATGTCAGGATTTACAGAACCAGCCCCGCACTCCCATTGTGCAATACCATCTCCCCACCACCTGTCAGATGCTGACGAACAGCCCGAGACAAGTACAGGAATCACAAAACAGAATCATAAAATAAAGATGTTTTCCAAATCCAGCTCTCGCTCTGAAATCGGAGGGCAGAAATTGAACTCCTAGTGCAAACCAAGTAGTATCAGTAGTGCAGTTTTTGTATCATGGCACACGAAAGCAAGAGCAGCTTAAATCTTTACTCCGGCGTTTAATGTTTATACAACTGGCTGATGCTGATCTTTTTCTAACTCTTTCTTTTTCTTTTAAGCACTCGTGGCCATCCGGAGCCAGAGCCCGAATCTGTGGTACTGACGTCGAAAGCAACAACAAAACTGAAGCGATTTTGTCTGCGGTACGGAGATGCAACTACAGGCTGCACAGTAGAACTGCTCAACAAGAGAAAGACTTACTAAAATACAGTGGAGAATTTCATGTCCCTCCATATCGCCGAGAACTCCTCATAGCGTACGGAGTCGGTCCGCTGGAATCGGTGCAGCAAGCTCTCGCAATCGGATTTTGCAGCGTCTGAGAAGTTTTCCATCGCTTTTAGCTAGTCCCCTAAATTTTATTTGTGAAAATGAAACATGTTTTGTACATCTTAATCTTGCTAATGAGCATATAAAATATAGTTATAGATTTTAATATAGAAATTCCTACGGTCTACCTTCGGCCCCGCAAAACGTAGTGTTTTTAATAATGAAAAGTGAAGCAGTTCGGATAATACTTCCGTGTTAAACACAGTAGTACGGGTTGCAGTTAGGGACAAACAGTCTCTACTTTGAAAACGATCTGCTCCACTTGATCACTCTTTGAAGCGGCTGCTTTTTGAGTTATTTTAGCTTTCCCACTCTGCCCGACCTTACGTGTGGTTATCAAGCATACCGTTCAAGTGCCCGCATCTTCGTTAAATAACTGGGGGAAAAAATCGATTGTCTCCCCCCAAATAGTTATACTACTACTCATAATAATTCTTATAATAAAATACTTTATTTATAGAGCGCCTTTAAAGGTGGCTCCTCAAAGCGCTTTACAGGACAATACACAATGTGAGGAAAATATTTATAATGTCCGTATTATAATAAAGCAAAAAAAAAACCAACTAAAAATGAAACAATAGATGCAGATTAAGCCAGTCGCCAGATTTTCGTCTCTGACAGAATGCTCTTGGGAGATGATGAGAAAATACTGCGACGCTTTCTGGTAGCAGTGTTTTTGGTAACGACTTACTGTCCGGTCGTGACCACTGCACTGGGAGACCTGCTGCTCTAGCGCTGTTCGGCCGGCGGCGCAGACGGTGAGGCAGGCACGTGAGCACGCGCCAGCTGGAAACTGATTGGGCGAGCGGCGCGTGCGCTAATTAATAACAAGGAGCTGCTGCAGCCCCAGCTGCTAGAGGCGAGTGTCCTCTTACAGACAGCGACGTGGTACCTGGGTATTTGTCACATGGCACGGCACGGCACGGCACGGCAGGACAGGAACGTCTGCTGCGGTAATGTTTTTCATTAAGATTAAAAAATGGTAGTGCTGCCGATTTGGGGAAAGAAGGTCCCGCTTTAAGAGCAGAATGCCGTTCAGAAGAGACAGCGCACTCCCCGCACGCGCGATCAGGTAATGATTTCTCGTGGATGCAGTGCTTTGGCTCGGTTCTGGTTTATAGCCGCTGTTAAAAACGCGTGGAGCGATATCGGGGGGTCCCGGTGTTGGGGGAGAACAGCGTTTGATTTTAAGTGCGGTCGACTGTTCTTTAAGTGTTTTTATCACGGTCATTATTTGCACCGATCTTTCTCAATTGATTTTGAAACGCATTTTCTTGATGCACAAGATGAGTTGTTTTTTTTAGTTATTGGTTTACAGCTGAAAATTAAGGTGGCTTTGACAAATACTAAAACGTCACAACAGAACGCAGGATAGTATTCTGTTTTTTTTTTTTTTTTATTGAAGCGTCCGTGGGTTCAGTCTTGGTGGGTAAATGCACGGGCAGCGTAGCCGCCGATAGGACTCGGCATCTCCAGGGGAGGAGCGCTCTCGGGCTGAGCGGGGGGGGGGCGGACACGTGGGTGAGGTCGGCGGGTCTGTTGTGTACGTGAGAGAACAACTGGTGCTGTGATGTACGTGCACGGCAGAGAGAGGGGAATGACTTACGTGCACCATGAGCTTCCCCGGTGTTTGTAACTGAAGGCACTTAAAATACGCCCGTTTTCTCTTCCTTGACACACGTCATCACATTTCAACCACGCACGATTTCGGGGTTTGTGAATTACAGGAGCAAGAGCAAATGAGGCGCATTACGCATATGCCGACGGCTTGCGTTCCAGCCTCTTTCCAAAAGACTTTAATGGGGCCGCTGGGACTGTGTGATGGGTTAATAATCAGAGGCGTTGCCTCTTGTGGTCTTCACTAATCAGCTGACCTGATAATCGGACTCTGCTTCCTTTGGCATGCGTGTGAACACGTAGCCCCTTGTCTCTTCGACCATGACGAGTCAATCTGAGCCGTTTTGCGCATAAAAATGAGTCCCAGCGCCCCTCTGTGTCCTGTCGCCGGGCCCTGATGAGTGGCACGTACGAGTGGGTTGTGCCTAAACACAAACTCCAAACATGTAGCAGTCATACCGCTCGCCATTTCGGCTGTGTGAATGTCCCGGACTGCAGTCGTGATCTGAACGGGGCAACGGAAAGCGCACTCCAAAACTATCACGGTAAGAATTGAGAGATTATGCTTCACGCTTTTATTTACAGTAAATGTTCAAGCCTGGGAAGGATACGCATATGGAATTTTAGGACGGCAGTTTTCCGCGTCCCGTCCCCCCCCCCCCTCTCCCCCAATAGGCAGTAATAACTAGGAAGGGGACCAGGAAGGAGAAATTAATATACTGCACAATATAATGGTAGATTTGACTTGCATGGAGTATGGCTTCTGTACTGCTGGACCGCGGTGGACGTGTTGTGAAAAAGATCAGCAGGGGACTTTTTTCAGCCTATACAGATTATAAATGCAGCAATATGGTTAATAGAAGGGGCTCCGGGTTCGAATCCAGGGTGTGGCACTCCTGTTATACCAATCGAGCAAAGTGTTTAACTCAAGTTACTTAAGCAAAATGTGCGAACTGTGTAAATGTGTGCTGTCAATCAAATAATTAATCAGTTGGGGAAAAAACTATAAATAATGAAGTCTAAGGAGACTTGGAGGGCTTTGGAGTCATTCTATTCTGTTAGACGGTGATAAGTAAAATGTGTTGCACAGCATTTGGGCTATTGGCAATTTCCATGGGAGGAAAAGTTAAAAGTTCACTTCATTTATTTTTATTAGACTTTTATGTTTATTAGACTATGGTGCAGTCTTGTTTTGCCTAAAAATGCAACCAGGACTTCATGCCATCTCTCCCCATCAGAGATCTTCAAATAAAACAAACAATATTGTACCTTGTAACACTGGGTCATCCTATCTGCAAGTATGCAGATGCTGTTTAATAAAGGGGACAGAAGAGTGCTCCACTTATGATTGATGGCAGCCTGAGTTACCACCACCACATTGATCAAGTCCAGGAACACTTGCTGCCCTTTGTGTCATTTCGATGTGAAAACATTCCTGCAGGACAGCACCTACTCAACGTGCTTCTGTAGCAGCACCTTTTGTGAGAGAGGAGGATTGGAATTATTCCATTAATGCCTTACTTGCCAGTTTGAGTCCCACTGAAAAATTGACTACGTCTTGTAGTATCTACCTCGGAGACCAGTGAACTAGTGCACACTTGCCCAAAGTTTTACGAGACGCAAGGGACAGACTCTTAAAACACAACATCTGCAACACGGCATGAAGCATGTCCCGGATGTACAACATTCTTCTAATGTTGGTCATACAACTAGCCTGTGACTTTCACAGTAGACTCCACGTTTCTGACGGATGGTAATCAACATAATGAATTAACATTGTCATGTATGTTTGCATGAATGTCACTGCACCTGCTATGCAAAAGACTGCAAAGTTAGCATTAAGTTCCCCGATACCCATGGACTTGTACGTGGTTTCGCTTGATGCACATTTATATTTATAAGCAAGGCTGTGGAAATGTTTGCTTCTAAAACCTGCTCAGATTCGGACCTTCTCACAGTTTTAAACAATGTTGCTTACTATTTCTTAAGTATATAAAGTAAACGGGTGCTGATGAATAGTTCAACGATTAACACACATTCACCACCTGTAAGTAAAAAGATATGTTGCAATACAAGGTCATAGCTGATGGATCTTACAAATTCAGTGCACTTCTCTTACCAGAAGTTTTGATTATGTATCTATTAGTAATGGTAATATTTGTTTTATAAAATTGCAGAAAACGGGAGGGGAAGAAGCTAAATCTTATTTTAATAAGTTGTATTAATTCAGCGATAATTAAAACGAAAAGATGTGACCACAAATGCAGTGTGGTCTTCCTGCAGATTTGGTTGGGTTTTAAGGCTGACGGTTACAATCCAAGTGGCATAAATTGGTGGTGAAATTGTACACGCACATAATTAAACATGGCCTGGTCCACATTTGTTGTTTATTGATGTAATAAAACAATACATTTAGTGTTCGGAGAACAAACCACAGACAGCAGAAAGATGAATTAACAAAGGGTTACATGACACGATCACACTAGGAAATGCCTTTCCATTTCCCCCCATAAGTGTAAAAACGGCTGCAGTATGTTGTAGATTTCAATACTGTAGTAATGATCATAGCCACAAGAGCATGAAAACCAAACATTCAATGTACTATGCATCTTAACAGGATGGAAAATTGCTAAACCTCTTCCATGATTGATCTACAATATGCCAAACAAGCATTTATACTCATTTGCTACACAGTAATTAAGCATGTATTATGTGTACTGAAAGGATGCATTTGAGCTGACAATGAAAGTGACTACTAAAAATATAAAAATCTCTATCATAATTACACTATAAATGTCACCAGCTTCCCATGATAAAAACCCAACAGTATCCTTCCAGGGTTATAACCATAGAAGTTTGTTCCTTTTTTAAATTTCAGGTTTTACTGTACTATGTTTACAATCTCTGATTGTTACTGCTGATCAATGCAACATACACAGATGTGAAGTGACTGAATGGTTATACCATGACATCAGAACAGCTTAAAAACGGGACAAGTAAAACCTCATGAACAGGTGTTTACTCTTCAACTTTTAATAGTCTTTATCAAACTGAGACGGAGCAGGTGACTGATGCATTCCAGGCTTAACAGTTATACTGTAACACTACATAGGAAACAAAAACAGAAGAAAAATAAATTGTTCAATATTTCATTAAAAGTAGTTTAAAAATGCTGAATATATTGCATGAACTGCTGGTAATTTTTAAGAAAATATATAATTGTGCGACTGTGGCTACATTGCACCGCTGGCACAGCACTTATACTGAATACACAGGATAAATGAAGAGCTTGAAACTTCAATAAACATCCTCTCATCTTTCCAGATATCCAGATGTAAGGCTGCCTGAACGCTGCTCTATGGTGTTTTCTTTCTTATAGCTATAAATAATGTATTGCAAAACAGGTTTGAAGTTTAGAACACATCTGATAAATCTACAAAGGTGCAGGACAGTAGCTGGATAGTAAAATAACCAGGTATAGAAAATATAAATAGAAGGGGTTGAGGGGGGGTGCAGTGTCCGGTATTGCACAGCGCACGGGGGGCTCAGTTGACCTGGTCCAGGGCCCTCAAGAGCTCTTCGCCCTGGAGGAGGTGCTGCCGGCCCTGCACGGGAGCGTTCACCTCGCAGTCGTATCGCGTCAGCTGGGGCAGGCCGTCGCTTCCGAAGGAACATTCCAGCAGCCGGCTTGCCAGATCTGGAGGGAAGAGCGGGAGAGTGGTCTAGGTATTAAATCGTGCAAATGCTTTTGGTTGTCTCCATGTCTTAAGTACTTTTGTTCCGATTTACATTTACACTGCCCTTTTATGGATGCTTAAACGAGGAAACGTCTCATGCTTTGTAGTTTTAATGGTACAGAAATGTTTATGGAACCACTCTCAACCATTAATGGCCAATAATTTTGATGTTCAAGTGCCAAGCATGAGATGCTTGACAGGGCACAGCACTGTCTGGCATCATACTCGTATTTGTCCAGTTTATTTAAACTATTTATACAATAGAAGTATAGCTGGTAATCTGCATATTACCGCTTACAGCTTCATTAATTTCAAATGCATAATACATGTGGTAGCTGTTGAATTCGGGCAGAAAAGCGCAGCTACAATGTGTCCATTGTAGATGATGATGATCGCGGGGTGCCGTCTTAGCTCATAGTAGAAGACAATACAAAAAATGGATAGATTTGAGGATCCATATCTAAACACCGTTTTTATCATTGTATAAGAACCCCACCTGTGGGCAAGAGCAGGATTGTCTTGTGTGTGAGAGCCTCTTTGCCACTCGTCTCAAAGACTTTGGCTCTTTTTTCAATCGCTGCAGGGTTCCCTACTTCATGGAGCAGTGTACCCTGGCAAACACAAAACCCCCACAAATGTTCAAAATGTCCATTTTCACCATAGACACTCATCAATCTCTCGGGGCTCACGGCTGCTTCATGCTTTAAACAGATTGATAACATCAAGCCGAATATTGTATCTCCCTCATTTGGGAAGATCAGACTTGGAGTACAAATGTAAAGATGTTTAACATGCTATGAGAAAAATATGAATTGGGTATCAATGGCAAATGGGTTCTCCACTGGCTGAACTTACAATGCCAACAGCCTGGGACAGTGAGGTGCCAGTTTCTAATTTCCTCTTGCGCTGAGCATTCTGAATTGCAAGCATCTTTGGAGATAGTGCCCCCTCCAAG